GAAGGCAAGGATCTCAGCTGCGGCCTGGGGGTAGGGTGGGCTTCTCCCAGCTCCCAGGAGTGATGGGCGGCAAGGCCTCCAGTCTCACCTGACCTGCCAGACCCTGGCCCCAACACCCCACCAATGCTGGACCGAAACTGGCTACCAGGACCCCCAAATACCATTCCCCTGAAAGGCAATTTGAGAGGCCAGGAAGCATCTGCTTGTGCTGAAGGCTGTGGCAGACGCAGGGGGAGAGAAGGAGTCAGCAAGGACGACCTGGACCAACCTGAGGGCCTCCAGGAGGGCCAAGAGGGTGGGGCTTGTGCTCCTCCTTCTAATCCTCCCCACCCCCAGCGAGCCCCCTGAATGCCCCTGGGCCAGGTGAAACCACCTCAGGGGAAGGCAGGCTGGCACCAGCTGGGTGCGCAGGTGGGCGCTCAGGTGGGCGCTCAGGTGTCTGGGGTTCTGTGAGCCAACGGCTGGGCCCAAGGGGGCCGAGGTCAGGGAAAAGGCTGGGCCCAGCTGGCAGCTGGGTGGAGACTTCGTGAGTTTCTCAGACGCCTTCTGTGCACCGTGCCCACCTTTGGCTGCACAGAGAAGACCAAGGCCTAGGGTGTGGCATTTGGGGCTACTGCAGTCTCCAGGTAATCAACATCTCTCTCTTTTTTTCCTTTAGAGAGAGAGGAAAGGAGAGGGAGAGAGAAATAGAAACATCGATGAGAGAGAACATCAACTGGCCGCCTCCTGCATTCTGCCCACTGGGGATTTGGCCCACAACCTGGGCATGTGCCCTGACCGGGAATCAAACCAGCGACTTCTTGGTGCAAGGTTGATGCTCAACCACAGAACCACACCAGCTGGTCTCAATCTCTATCATGTATGCTTTTAATCTGTAAAACAGGGATCACCCCTCGAGCGTGTGTCCAAAGATTAAATTACATGATGGATTCCTATGAGCTTTATGAACTAAACTTTAGTTCTCAACCTGTGGGTCGCAACGCCTTTGGGGGTCGAACGACCCTTTCACAGGCGTCGCCTAAGACATAATGGTAGCAAAATTACAGTTATGAAGTAGCAACAAAAATAATTTTATGGCCCTGGCCGGTTTGGCTCAGCAGTTAGAGCCTCGGCCTGCAGTTCAGAGACATACGGGTTCGGTTCCCGCTAAGGGCGCGTCCCTTGGTTGCAGTTTGTCCCCTGCCCTGGTTAGTTGTGCGGGTGGCAGCGACTCAATGTGTCCCTTTCACATCGATGCTTCAAAAAATGGAAAACTGTCCTCAGGTGAGGATAAAAAAAATAATAGTAAGTAAAAAATAATAATTTTATGGTTGGGGGTCACCACAACACGAGGAACTATATTAAAGGGTCGTGGCATCAGGAAGGTTGAGAACCACTGAGTGACGGGGAAAAGCCAGGGTCATTCACTCGTTTGACAAACAGCCGCTGAATTTGAGCAACAGATTTGGAGGTTACTGTGCAGACAGACCCAGCTCAGAGGCCCTGGGAGCTTTCTCAAGGGCAGCTGAGTGGATCTGGCCAGGGAGGGGGGCCGGCAGGCAGAGGAGTGGGGGGCTCCGGGAACTCTCGCGTCTTTTGTCTTTTCTCTCTGTAGTCACACTGGTGATGGCTGGCACTTGCCCGGTGCTCACCTGTACCAACCAGTGTTCCAAGTGCTCAGCGTGCTTCCCACCCCTTCATCTTCACAGCAGCCCTCCATGTCACCCTCACTCCAGATGAGACACCTGAGGTCTGCTGTTCAAAGTAACTCCCCAAAGTCACTGGGCAAGTCCATGGCGGCTGAGCTGTGTACCTGCCGGGTGGTCTCTGAAAGCCAAAGTTGTAACCACTCACCAGGAGACCTCCTTTTTAAAAAGCCTAAAGAAGTTGGGCCGGGCCCCTGTGGCTCAGTGGTTGAGCGTCGACCCTGCACCAAGAGGTCACCGGTTCAATTCCCGGTTAGGGCACATGCCCAGGTAGGGGGCATGCAGGAGGCGGTCAGTCAATGTTCTCTCTCCCTCACCCTTCCTCTCTCTCTAAAAAATCAATAAAGTAAATAAGTAAATAAATAAATAAAAGTTGGGATTTCCAGCTTCTCCCAAAATAGCCAGACCTGGCAACACCATGTGAACATCCCTGCCTGACTCCCAGAGAGACCTGGGCAGGAGCTTGCTCTTCAGATGGGCATTCAGACCTCTCCCCCCTTCTCCCAACACGGAGGCTACTGAGTTCTTCCGTGTGACCTGAGGTCCCTGGTGGACACGCGAGCAAGGCCCCAGCCGCTGTCCAGGGAGAGGATGCCCCATGTGACCTTGGACCCCTGCTCACCTTATTCACCCACACTTTTCTGTTTTTAATGTTGTTTCTTTATTGATTTTAGAGAGACAGGCAGGGAAAGGGAGAGAGAGATAGAAACATCGATGAGAGTGAACATCAATTGGCCACCTCCTGCACGCCCCCCACTGGGGATCAGGCCCACAACCTGGGCATGTGTCCTGACCAGGAATCAAACCGGCAACCTCTTGGTACACGGTCGACGCTCAACCGCTGAGCCAAACTAGCCAGGGCTGCTTTTTTTTTTTAATGGACACTTTATTTTATTTATTTATGCTTCAACAGTTTTTTGAAGAATATCTGCTTTATTGATATAATTCACATACTACAACATTCACGCTTTTTGAAAGTATACAGTTCAAAAGTGTTTAGTATATTCAGATTCGTGCAACTGTTACCACGATCAACTTGAGAACATTACATCACCTCCCGCAGAAATCCCGCACCCACGAGGGCCGTGTCCTTCTCCAGCCCCGTTCCCGTGGTCCCCGACCTGCTTCTGTGTCCAGGCCGCCTTCTCTGCACGTGGACATTCGGCTGAGAGCACTGTTCTCTCACCTCATCTCAGGGAAGGATTTGTGTGTTTTGTGTCCTGTCTCAACGCCTGCCTGTTCTCTGGTCTGTTCCTGTGACCGGAAAATCTTCCTGCCCTTCTTTCCACATCGCTTGCCTGCAGTCCCTAATTATCTGGTAGCTCTAGGCTCAGATGTCGCTTCTTCCACAAAGCCTTTTCCAAGCCCCCAAGAATGTTTTAGGGCCCTGGCCAGGTAGCTCAGTTGGTTAGAGCATCGTCCCAATGAGCCAGGGTTGCAGGTTTGATCCCTGTTCAGGGCACACCCAAGAAGCAACCAATAAATGCATGGAAAGCCCTGGCCAGTTCAGTTCTGTGGTTAGAGCACCGGCCCATGGACCAAAGAGCTGTGGGCTCGATTCACGGTCAAGGGCATGCACCTCAGTTGCCGGTTCAATCCTCGGCCCCAATAGGGGTCTTCCTGTGGGAGGCAACCAATCAATGTGTCTCTCTCATATCCATGTTTCTCTCTCTCTCTCCCTCTCTCCTGGCTTCCTTCCACTCTATCAAAAATCAGTGGAAAGCCCTGGCTGGTTTGGCTCAGCGGTTAGAGCGTCGGACTACGGACCAATGAGTCACGGGTTTGATTCCGGTCAAGGGCACGTACTTCAGTTGTGGTTCGTCCCTGGCCCTAGTTGGATTGTGCAGGAGGCAACCAGTCAATGTGGCTCTATCACATCAATGTTTCTCTCTCTCACTCTCTCTCTCCCTCCCTCCTTCCCTCCCACTCTATCTAATGATAAATGGAAAAATATCCTCAGGTAAGGAATTAAATAAATAAGTAAATAAATAAATAATCAATGGAAAAATATCCTCAGGTGAGGATTAAGTAACTAACTAAATAAATAAATAAATGCATAGAAAAGTGGAACAACAAATCAATGTTTCTCTCAAATTAATTTTTTAAAAAGAATGTTTTGGCCCTGGCCAGTTTGGCTCAGCGGTTAGAGCATCAGCCCTCAGACCAATGAGTCACAGGTTCGATTCCGGTCAAGGGCACGTACCTCAGTTGTGGTTCGTCCCCGGCCCTGGTCGGGGTCCTGCAGGAGGCAACCAGTCAATGTGTCTCTATCACATCAGTGTTTCTCTCTCTCTCTCTCTCTCTCTCTCTCTCTCTCCCTCCCTCCCTCCCTCTCTCCCACTCTATGTGATAAGTAGAAAAATACCCTCAGGTGAGGAATAAAAATGAAAAAAAGAATGTTTTAGGAACAGCAGGTCTGTGCTCCAGGTTCGTGCTCCCTGTACTTAATGCCAACGGGCTTCTTCATGCCTGGCTCGTGGCAGGCACTCGACAGCAGCCAACAGGAGGACAAGTGTTGGAGGCACGAGGAGATGGTTTCGGGAGGAAGACCGATCACACTGTGTGTGGCTGCAGAGCCGAGGAGGAGGGGCAATGCGGCTGGGCCTTCATTGGCCCCCCTCACAGGTCGGGAAGAGCCCAGCAGCACCGGGCATGGGGATGCCACTGGGGGTGGGGGGCTGAGCTGGGTGAGAGGGAAAGTCTGCCAGGAGAGGCGGGAGCTGGACTGGCGTGACGGACACAGCTGAGCGGGCTCGAGTTAAGGGGTTCGCTGGATGGCTATGGGTCCATCTGCTCCTTTCCTGAACGTCACTGAGTGTGACTTCGAATGACAGTCCCTTTCTTGCCTTGGCCATCATGGGTGGCAGCGTGGCTAGAGCGTCAGCCCGCACAACGGAGGGTGACGGGTTTAATTCCGGTCAAGGGCGACCCATCAAGGTGAGATGTTTCTCTCTCTCCCCTTGCACCCCTCTCCTCCTCCCCTCTTCCTTCCACTGTTTTTAAAAACCGATGGAGAAACTACCCTCCGGTCAGGATTAACAACAAAATGAATAAATAAGCTAAGAGAGTCCCTTTCTTGGCTTCTTGTAGCGTCAACCCCAGGGATGCCCCGTGATTCCCAGGTTCACCCCAGCCGCCCTCACGCCACCTCTGAGTGCGTGTGGCTCTGCACACGTTTGCAACATGTTTGGTCGGAGCTCAGCGTCCCGAGACCCAGATTCTGGGAGTGACCAAGGCTTCCCCCAAGCTGGGCTGAGGTACGTCTGCCCCAGAAAAAGGTACGTTTGAGTCGCTTGTGTGGGTGCAGAGGGGAAGGGACAGGCCTCCTGACATCTCTGAGGCACCGAAAGCATGACCGAGTCTCCTCCCCCTGCCCCTCCTTCCCTGCACCCCGTCCCTCAGACAGGCCGGAGCGAGGTGGTGTCCAGGCTTTATTTCCCGTCCCTCGCTGACCTATCTGCGCTGCTTTCGGCCTTGGTGTGCTCCTCCCAGAGGGAGATATGCCTGACTATGAGCCCGCCCGGCTGGTCAGCATCCACCACCAGCTTCACGCAGCTCACTTGGCACCTCATCCGTCTCAGAAATATCTCCTGATCCATCTGCCCTTCCAAGAGGCGGCCCAGCACGGTGAAGCTGGTGCAGGACTGGGGCACCCCCTCGGGCTCGTAGCCCAGCTCCACGTGCCCCCTCTCCAGGGTGTACTTTCCATCCATGATGGTGCCTGTCAGCACTTGGACTCTGCTCAAGTTCGCTGGGTGGTTCAAAATGACTGTCAGGTGGCTTCCTGCACGAACACTGTGCGTCCAGAAGAAAGATGCGTCCAGGGTGTAGGCCTCCCAGGGGAAGTGGACACTAAAAACCTTCATGTCCGTGAACACGGCTCCGGGCGGGTTGTCGGGACTGGAGGGGGCCTTGCTCCGAACTGCCTGGCCCGTGCGGCTGCCCTGGGCGCTGTAGTAGACCATCCGGTGGTAGAACAGGAAGGGCCTGCACAGGACCGGGTCTTTCTGGGCCATGAGGGTGCGGAAATGAGGGATCAGCCTGTGGAGGGGCTTCTCCTTGTAGAAGAGGAGGAGGAAGTGGGCCAGCACTGGGAGGTCCTTGCTCCGGAAGAGCTTGCCCAGGAAACCCATGTTAGAGAACTCCAGCAGCACCCACGCGTCCGAGCTCATGGCGTTCACCTTCTGACGAATGTGGCTCATGAAGCTGGGGGCACAGAACACGTCGTCCTCCAGCAACAGGAAGTAGTGAGAGCGCTTTGCAGCGAAGCTCAGGAGGAAGGCGTGGTCTACATTCTGCTTGGAGTACACCTCCCCCTGATAGGCCTCATCCCTGACGTCACCTAGCGCGGGGTAGGCGTCAGCCGGGGCGTGGATCAGGATCAGCTGCCCTGCCAAGATCTGTGGGCTGAAGAGGTGTGCCATCTGGACAACGGTTTCTCTGAGCCAGGTGAGGTTAGAGTCAGCCAGGTGGACCACCACGGTGAGCTGTCTCCGCTTCGCCTTAGAGGAGGCTCGGAACAGGGAGACCAGGGTGTGCGAGAGGCTGTTCCGATTCGGCCCTGGCACTGAGGAGATCCCCACCGTCAGCCACGCTAGGGAGGTAACAGAGGGACAGTTGTCAGTGTTGGACGGCGGTGAGGATGGTTGGGGGTTGGGGCGGAGTTGTTCTTTGGGACCCCTCTCTTCCTTTCCTCCCTTCCTGTTTTCCATCAAGTCTGCCTTCTGGTGAAGAGGATGCTGAGTCCTTGCTACTGAAGTGCGATCCTGTCCCGGCAACACCAGCCTCAGCGGGAAGCTCACTGGAGATGCAGTTAGGGCCCTGACTCAGATCAACTTAAACAGGATCTGAACTTCTTTTAAATCCTCACTAGAGGGTATTTTTCTATTTATCTTCAGAGAGAATGGGAGGAAGAGCGAGAGAGAGAAAAGGAGAGAGGAGAGAGAAACATCGACGTGAGAGGGACACATCGACTGGTTGCCTCCCGCATTACCCTGACCAGGGCTGGAATGAACTGAAACTGAGGTATGTGCCCTTGACCGGAATTGAACCCAAGACTCATTGGTCTGTGGGCCGACGCTCTACCGCTGAGCCAAACCAGCCAGGGCCAGAATCTGGACTTTACCAGTATCACCAGGTGCCTGGCATGTACATCTCAGTTTGCAAAGAGTAAGTAGTGTGATGCTGGGTCCCTGTGGGTCCCTCTGAGCTTCTCTGAGCCAGAATTTGATGGCACATGATTCAAGTGCTCAATAAATACTAGTTTTTGGTTTTACCCAGTCATCTTCCCAAAGCTCTCCTCTGAAGATGTATTAGAAAAAGCCCTCCTCCTAGAAATCAGGAGCCCAGGCTCCCACTTCTGCCACTGACTGTGTAACCTTGAGCAAGTCCCTTTACCCCTGACCTTTGTTCCTGATCCATAAAACTGAGGGAGTGGGACCATGTGGCTAAGGCTCTGTCTAGTCCCAGCGTTCTCTAACCCAGTGATTCCGCTTCCCTATAACTGGTAACTTTATCTTTCCCGCCTTCTTCACTCCTGATGCACAAGTGTTTCGGAGAAAACTGCTTGCCAGGTTCAGACAGTCCAAGGACAGTCCTGCCTCTTCTCTCCCTTCTTTCCTTCCTCAGTCCCTTACTTCCCTGATGTCCCTGCCTCCCCGGGAGACCCAGTTCCCCTCCTTGGAACTCACTCTTTCTTCTCTGATGGACTGTGTCCATATACTTGAAGTGGAGATCCTGCCATTCTTCTAGTGGTCTCAGGTCGTTCCTTCTGCTGTGATTGTCCTGGGGCATTGACAAAAGCTAAACATGTACCTCCTTTCGTGAAAAGAACAAGGTTCAGCCCTGGTGGCTTCCTGGAAGCTTCTCTAGGGAAGGGAGAGGTGGAGTGGACCACTCTCCCTCGGGGAGCCCAGCACATTCTCAAATGCCTGACCACGGCCCCAGGACCCAGGGCTCCAGCGGTCTCTGCTGCCTTTCTTACCTTGGCACATGGGGCGGGGGGGGGGGGGGGGTGTTGCAGATTCTTTTTTTTTATCCTCACCCGAGGACATTTTTCCATTTTTTGTACAGATAGAGTGGGAGGGAGAGAGAGGAAGAGAGAGAGAGAGAGAAACATCGATGTGAAAGGGACACATCGAGTGGCTGCCACCGCACGACCAACCAGGGCCGGGGACAAACTGCAACCGAAGTACATGCCCTTAGCGGGAACCGAACCCGGGTCTCTCCGGACCGCAGGCCGACGCTCTAACCGCTGAGCCAAACCGGCCAGGGCAGGGTGCAGATTCTTTATGGACCAGTGGGTCCAGGCCCACAGCCCAACTCCCTTTGGAGCCCCTGCTCCCCGCAACAGGCATGCTTGAGAACCTGCCTGTCCACACCACTCCCACCCTCTGACCTCAGTCCCCACGCTGAGAGCAGGGGTTGCTACGTGGCCTTTGGTGGCCTTCATGTTTCGATCCGCTTCGATTTCCCAGGGGGCCTTCAAAGTCACGAGCAACCACAGGAATCCGATGGCCACGGAGGCTACGAAGCAGAGCCTGATGGGACAGCGCATGGTGTCTGCCGGGGTGAGGTTCCTGCAGCCAGAGGTCAACGTGCACACTGGGGATGGCCCCATCCCCACCACCCACTTCCCCTTGTCTCCTGAAAGCCTCCCCTGAAAGCCCCGGGACTAGTCTTTCTCTTCATCACTGTTCATTACTTCCCGAGCCTGCCTTTTCACTGAGCTGGGGACCTGATGGAATGTAGCCCTACTGTCCTGGGATCTCTGCTCACTTCTCTTTCGAGCTTTGCTTGGAGATCTAACTTTCCTGAAGTTTTTCCCTTTCAGAATGGCGAGTGTTGGCTGGGGCTTTGGTGATGAGGCCCACTGAGCTCAGAAAACAGATGGTCACCAGCACCACCGGCTCCTCCAAACAAAAGTGAAACTATTTATTAAAATAGCTGAACTTAAAGGGTTGCTAAGAGCTAAGCAGTTTTGGTGTCTTTCTTTACTTTCTAATAAATAATATCCTTGATTTATTCCAAGCTGTACTCTTCTTCACAGACCTTGATTAGAACAGGATTCTGTTGACTAGGAAAGAAAAACCCTTTCGTGAGGGTTGGGCTATTGGAATTCAGGCTGGCTCGGCCTCAAAAGCATTTGTTTGCTTTCTTCCTGTGTCTTCCCTCTGGAGGGAATGTGTTTCTCTGTTTCTAAATGATCAGAGGAAAAGCCTTTAATGTACTTGTCACCAGCTCTTGATTCTTACCGGGCATATTTGGGGCACAAAAGCAATCGCAGTCTGTAATTTCTATGCTCCCGAGGCTGCGACATTCTCTAATCTCCCTCATTTTCATGGACCCTGACAGTTTAGAATTTCAGTGGAGCCTAACAAGCTTCTTTCCCTTAACCATTTAGCTTTAAAAAAAAATGTTTTTTCTTTATTGATTTTTAGAGAGAGAGAGCGAGCGAGCAAGGAAGAGGGAGAGAGAGATAGAAACATCAATGAGAGAGAATATCGACTGGTCGCCTCCTGCATGCCCCCCACTGGGGATCAGGCCCACAACCTGGGCATGTGCGACCGGGAATCAAACTGGTGATCTCTTGGTGCAGGGTCGACGCCCAACCACTGAGCCACACTGGCCAGGCTTAACCATCTAGCTTTCTGATAAGAGTTACAAAAAATAATTATATCAGTAGTAGGGCTTCACAGATTAAACTTTTCTTACCTGGTTTCCTTAAGCTAGGGCTTGTAGTCAGGGGTGATTCAAATACAAACCACTTGATGTAAAAGAAATGGTCCTCTCTGCTCTAGAACAGACATGCATGGGTATACATACTGCATTAAAAAACTCCGCTATTACACTTGGAGGCATTCATCACAGTGTGGCTCTGTCCCCCTCGGCACCTCCTGTTCCCCTTTCCAGTCACTTTGGAGCACACCCTCATTCAGTCCTGACCTCCACAGGCGTCTGGAACAGGTAGGAGAGAAATGGAATCAAGGAAGTGAGTGCTGAGGACCAGCTACTGCAGGTGTCTGAACAGAGAGGGGAGGCCAGAGACTTGGGAAAGCACACAGAGGCCTCCCCAGGTCTCTGCCCTTGAGCTAAGCTGCCTCTGTGATGTTACTCTTGTGTGCTGCCTACCTGCTCATCATCACAGGTGCGCACGGACAGGACTCACATGGCGCAAAGCATGCGCAGTGACTGGCACTGCACACTGCGATGCTTCCAGACAGGCAGCACCGGCATCAGGGCTAAGAGACACCAGCACTGAGGAACACGTCATCCTGCCCCCGCAGGAGGTGCCCGACTTCCCTCCCCTCACCTCATTCTTCACCCTGACAGTTACCCTCTTCTCCTCTGCAGTATTCATCCCTCCCTGAATTCATGTTCTCTCCACATTTTGCCCCTTTTCTCTGCAACCCTACTCAGCATAACTCCCTGAAAGCATTGTTATTAATTAGTCCCCTTCATCGAACATTCCCTCCCCTTATCCTACCCAACCTCTCTGCAACTTGGACACAGTCTGCCTCCTCCTTGGAACACTTTCTTACTTTCTTCCCTGACATCACCTGCCACACTGACCATCCTTCTCAGCTAGCTATTTTTTTTTTTTATCCTCATCCGAGGAAATTTTTGCATTTTTTATCAGATAGAGCAGGAGGGGGAGAGGGAGGAAGAGAGAGAAACATCGATGTGAGAGAGACACATCGAGTGGCCACCACCCACATGACCCCAACCGGGGCCAGGGACAAACTGCAACCTACGTACGTGCCCTTAGTGGAAACTGAACCCGGGACTCTCTGGTCCGCGGGCTGACGCTCTAGCCGCTGAGCCAGACCAGCCAGGGCCTCCTCAGCTTCTTCCCTGGCTCATCCTCATCTCAGCCTGGGGTACTGCTCAGGCTCTTCTTCCTCCACACCCTCCTTGGGTGATCTTACCCAGGCCCGTGGCTTTAAGGATTTGTCTATATTGAATATCAGTGTGTGTGCGTGTGTGTGCATGTCACATCCAGTGTGTGCATATATATACATACATCATCTCATATAGAAGTGTGTACACACATCTTCACCAACGGCCAACTCCAGGTTGATCTGATCTTCCAGCTCAGACCCCAACCCGAGCTCCGCATCTCCCATGGGATGAGTAAGAGATATCTCAACCTTAACAGAGCAAAAACAGAGCGACAGATTCTTCTCACCTCCGAAGTCTTTCCCTGTCTCTGTAAACAGCACTGCCGTTGACCCAGTTACTCAGGGAAGAAATCTGTCATCCTTGATGCCCCTGTCCCCTCAACACTCCAACCTATTTAGTCCTGTTACCTTTTCCTGCAAAATGGGACCCTTTTTCACCATCTCAGCGCTACAAGGTTAGTCCATGCCACCTCCTGCCTGGACAACTGCAATCCCCTTCTAATTGGCCCCTCCCCTCCAGTCTGGAGTCTGCCCCACCCTGGTTCTGCCTTTGCAGATCAGCTCACACCTTGACCAGTCCTGCAGTCTGGTCTCAACACGGCAGTCAGAGACCTTCTAAAATTGTAAGTTAAACGGTGTCCCTTCCTGCCTACAAGTCTCTGATGACTTCCCCTTGCCAGTAGGATAAATCCAAACTCCTCATCAGGGCTGATGAGATCCTGAACCCCAGTTCCTTATCTAGAAAGTTAAGGTAATGATGGCTACTCTCAGAAGTTCCTATGAGGATTGAGACCATTCACCATGCACCATGGGAACCTCCCACTTGCCACTGTCTGTTGGAGGCTCCCTGGAGAGGTGGCCCACACCCAGTTACCTGGAGGCCCTGGACCCTGGATCCCCTTGGGCTGAGCCAGCAGAGAAAGGGGTCCCAGGACTGGAGTGTCTTCCCTGGACCCAGACCTAGTTTCCCAGGGACAGAATCCCAGAAAGGAGACCCTCGTCAAGGTGTGAGCTGATCTGCAAAGGCAGAACCAGGGTGGGGCAGAACCGGGAACACAGCAGACCAGTCCCGCAGAGAAGGGGTGGCTGGTTCCAGGGCAATGCAGGGCAGGGCAATGGGGGAGGACAGTTCCTCTCTCTACTTGTGCTCCTGACTTGCTATCTCTTCCTGCTCCACCTGGGAGCCAGATTCTTCTCCAGTGCAGCCCCCAGCTCCCTCCTTAGCCCGCGGGAGCCAGGGATGCTCAAGGCCACTCCCCACCCCCTCAACAAATATTTGTGGCTCTTCTACTTCGTGCCTGGTGCAGGGCTAGAGACCACTCCTCCTCTCCGGCAGCTTAAACGCGGTAGGGCGCGTGGAGGGAAGGGGGCAGGGGGGGGCAGCGGGAAGACACACACCGACTTCGCAAGTGCAGCAACATCACGTCGGGGGAAGACACGGTAGACAAAGCAGGGAGGCCAAAACGGCTGCAGCTCATCGTGACGGCCGCTCTGGGGTCTCCAGAGGGAACACCTGGCAGCAGGGACCGCGGGGCACCGAAGGGTGGGCGGGACGGCGGCACTGAATCGGAGAGGAACCGAGACGGACGCGGGCAGGGCGGAGGCCTGAGCACTGGGAGACCGCGGTGGGGGTGGGGGCCAGGGACGGGGGATCACGACCCACTGCCTGGGGGGGGGCGGTCTCAGAAAGGCCGGAGCACCAGGGAGGCGCAGACCGGAGGTCCGGGCGGAAGGGAGCCCCGGAAAGCGGCGGGGGGCCGCGGGCGCCGCGGGCGGGGGGTGAGCTCCCTACACGTGCGCTACGTGCTGCGCGAGCGCCTCCTCCCCCGCCCGGCCGCTGGAAGCGGGCCCGCCCCCATCCACCCGAGCCCCGTCCCCGGAGCTGCGCAGGGACTAGGGCGGGGGACAAAGTCGGTCGCCCCCCAAGTTGGAACCCTAAGCGGCCAAAGGAACGCGGGGAGCGCCCGTCCCAGGCCGGCGGACCTGGGGCGCAGCCCGGGGTGGGGTGGGCAGGACGGGGCCGGGCGGGCCGCGTGAGGATGGAGACCCCGGGCGTGTGTTCCGAGGGCGCGGGCGGCGCGGCTGGGGGCCGGCGGGGCGGGGTGTCGGCGTAAGGAGGGGCTCCTGGGGACGTGGCACTCAGAGCGGGGCTGGTTCCGCCCGGGCCGCGGCCCCGCTGTCCCGGGAGCCCAGCCGACCCCGTCCCGGCCCGGCGCCCCGGGCTCTGGGAGCCCTGGCCCCGGGCCTGCAGCTGCGGTGGCCGGTCCGGCCTCCGGCCGTCCCGCGGCCCAGACCAGACAATGCGTCCGGGCCCCGCCCCCGCGGCCGAGCGGCCAATCGGCGCCCGCGGCCGGGCTCTTTAAAAAAAGAAGGGCCGGCGCGGCCGTGTCAGCTGGCGGATCCCTCCGCCATGTAAACACGCATCATAAAGGGCGGAGGCGTCGCCCGAGCCCTGCTCGCCAGGTCTCTCCCCGCGCGGCGACCGCCCCCTGACGTCACAGCTGCCGCTCACCTGGGAGCGCGGTCCCCTCGCGGCGGCCGCTGCCGGAAGCCGGGGGCGAGCTCGCGCCGGGGCGGGCGTTCCGGGGCTGGTGCTGCGCGCCCAGGTAGGTGGCAGCCACGACTCGTGGGTCTGCAACTTTCCTCCAGTGGTGCCTGCGGGCCCGCAGACGCCAGTGCAAGTGTGCGCTCGTCCTGAGAGCGAGCGCGGGACCTCCACCAGCACAGCCCGCCGCTGACAAAGGGTCACAGGGTGGTTTTCTTCTCGTTTTAGTATGAAAAAGTGTCAAACACTCAGCAGAGTCAAATTTTGCAGCGAATCCTACGTGCTCACCGCAACACCCTGAACATCTGATAGCTCGCCCCATCTGTACCCTGCACTGGTGACGCTCTGATTCGATGCCAGCTGCCCCTTGGCTTGTCTCGGCGAGGTGTTCCTGCAGGGCTAAGAAGAGCTGCTTCTCCAAGGACCTGTCTCCACTCTGTTTTTGGAGAGGAGGGGCAAGCATTTCTAGGAAGTTTATTGATGAGGCTTCCCCTCGCCCCCCTTTCTACGTGAAGAACCCTTAAGGATTCGCAGGGCTAGGACTCTGTAGACCCCTCCTAAGAGGTCCTAGCAAACAGTCCTTCCATGGGTGTGGCTGCTGTCTGGATAAAAGAGGTAATTTTAGTCTCTTACCTTTTTAATTTCCTCTCGCCCCTCTTCTGGGGCAGGACACTACATACCCCTCCATTCCCCTCAAAAAAGTGCCTAAAGTGTTCATGTGTCTTAAAGTTACTTAAGCTCCCCCAGCTGGTGTGGCTCAGTGGTTGAGCTTTGATCAATGCACCAAGAGATTGATGGTTGGATTCCAGGTCAGGGCATGTGCCCAGGTTGTGGGCCAAATCCCCAGTGGGGGCATGCAGGAGGTGGCCAGTCCATGTTCTCTCTAGTGGATGTTTCTCTCTCCCTCTCCTTTCCTCTCTCTAAAATCAATAAAGGTAAAAAAGAATGTTTAAAGTTACTTAAGCTCTTTGTGTGTCGTCGCCAGATCTGCAAAACGGGGATAATAGCAATTTCTACCCAACAGGATGGTTGTGAAGATCCATGAGCTAATATACGAACAGAAGCAAAGCATTCCTTACACACAGTAAGCATCAGATAAATAGCTATTTATTATCACTATAAATACATGCCAGTAACTCCCAGACTGACATCTCCAGTTCTGATCTCTCCCCTTGAACCTGCTGATATCTCCAACTGTACCAAAGACCCCTTGAAGTCAACACGTCCAGAAGGGAACGCATTGCTCATATAATCCAATGCCTGGCAATGCCAATGGCCAGCACCCACTCAGGCCTGTACCCCAGACACCTGAGTCATCCTGATGCCTCGCTGTCCCCTCCCCAATTTATCGCCATGTCCTAATTTTCCTCCTACATTTGCACCCCTTCCCCATAATGAATAGCACCACTGCCTTACTTTAGGCGTATTTCTAGTCTGTCGCTCCTCTCCCACGCAACGTCGCCCTCACATTGCTGGTAAGCCCCCCTTTTCCCTGCAACACCCCCACCTCCCCTGAATAGAGGCTGCATCCCTTCGCCGTGTGGATTTGGGCCAATGGTCTCATCAACCCGTGCCTCGCTGTCCTCCTCTGTGAGATGGAAATCGGGGTACGTGCCTCCCGGGATGCTGCGCAGATTACGTGATTAACCATGGACGCTCTTAGGAAGGTGCCCAGGACACTGGAGCGCTCAGTGTGAGCTCGCGGTCCACGTCTCACGACCCTCTTCTCGCCTCGTGGCTGTAACTGCGGGGAGCTGCAGGAGCGTCTGCCCCCTGGGGCCCCTGGGGGTGCAGTTCCACCGCGGCACGTACTCCCGAGCGCGACTCCCCGGGCGGATGCGACCCCGGGTTCCCGCCGCCGCCGCCTGTGGCTCCTGGAGGGCAGGGCCCGGGGCGCGCAGCCAAGGGCCCGAGGCCGCCGGCTCGCGGGACCTCGGGGTCCAGCCGGCCGGCGCAGGCCCGCCCTCCCGCTCGGGGGCGGCGGGTGGGGGCGGGGCGGGACTCCTTTTCCTGCCGCGGCGGCGGAGGTGCACGGCGTGGCTGCGCAGACGCCGTCGCGGCCGGCCGCGGAGGAGGAGGAGGAGGAGGAGGAAGGCTGAGGAGCCGCGGAGCCGAGGAGCCCGGGAGCCCGGAGCCCAGCTGCCGACGCCGCCCGGAGCCCGGACCCCGTCCTCGTCCTCGTCCCCGCCAGAGTCGCGGCGATGGATCCGGTCGCCGCGCCGCCCCCCGGCCCGCGCCCCGCGCCGCCGCTCGGGGGCCCCGGCCCGCTGGGCGAGTTCCTGCCGCCGCCCGAGTGCCCGGTGTTCGAGCCCAGCTGGGAGGAGTTCGCCGACCCGTTCGCCTTCATCCACAAGATCCGGCCCATCGCCGAGCAGACGGGCATCTGCAAGGTGCGGCCGCCGCCGGTGAGTCAGGCGGGCGGCGGGCGGCGGGCGGCGGGCGCGGGGCGGGCGGCGGAGTCCCGTGCGCGCAGCAAAGTTTCAATATGGCGGCGGCGCCGGCTCCTTTGTGTGGCGCGGCCGGGCGGCCTCACCTGGCGCCGCGCTGCGGGCCGGCTCCGGCGGGCGGCGGGCGGCGGGCGGCGGGCGCGGGGCCCCCGCCGGGAGTGGGGCCCGGGCTGCCGCCGGGGCCGAGGCGCCGTCGCCCACCGCGGGCCGGGCCGGGGGCGGGGGCTCCTGCAACGGCCCCAACGGCCCCAACGTCCGCGGCGCCGACCCCGCCGGAGCGGACGCGCTCCCGCCCCCGGCGGAGCACCCTCGGCGGCCGGGCCCACTCGGCCCGACGGCGGTTGGACGGCCGGACCGTTGGGACGGGGTTTAACTGCCGACGCGCCGCCCCGCCCCGCCCCCGCCCCGCGGCCCGGCCCCTCCCGCCGCCCGCCGGGTCCTCCTGCGGCGACTCCGCCGTGACCTTCGGACCCGCAGGGATTCCCTGCGGCGCCCGCCACGCACCCGACCCCGCCGACCGCACGCCGGCGCCGGGCTCCGGGCTCCGGGCAGCCGCGGGTCCGCCGGACGCGGGCGGAGGGGAGGCGCCGGCGCCCCGGGGACGCGGTGGCTGCGAAGGGTCCGCACACGGGGTCAGCGGGCCTGGTCGGGGCGCTGCCTCGGGACCGGGCGCCGCGGTCCAGACCCCCGGCGGCCTCGCGTTTGGCCCGGTGCTGGGAAGGTGCCAGGGAGCGGCGTCCGCTGGCGTCAGCGGGGTTTGCGCCATCGTCAGGCAGCTGGAGGGGTGCTTGGGAACGGGGTGCGCGGTCGGGTTGCGGGGGGCGAGCTGCCTGTCGTAGGCGACGCCTCTCGTCGGCTTTTCCCCGAAGGTGATGCTGCCCAGGTGGGGCTGGGCCCGTCCGGCCCGCTCGACGTCCGTGGCGGCTCTGCGGGGTGCGCGGCGGCGTGGGCTTCCCCACTGCCGCGGGGCGACACGGACGCCACCATTTTGTGTGGAGGACGCCCCGCACCCCGCACCCCGCACCCGGCCTGCTCTGCGGGCCTCGGGCCGGCTGGCCTCCCTCCTTTGTCTTACAAACTCCTGGGCCCGTGTGCGCGGAGTTGGGGGCAGTGTTTGTTGCTGTTGAAATCACACGACGAAAATCTTTGCACAAGCGGAGCTCTTAAGAAGGGTCTTCTGGGAACAAAGGCTTCTTGGGAGATGTAAACAGTCCGTTTTAGAAACTGGTCTGTTTTAGGAAGCCAGCTGTGAACAAGTGGTTTCATGTAGCTGAAATAAAGCAACAGAAACAAGAGGTGTGTCATTTTCCGTGGCCGTGGTTATATGCGGTCTGTACTGAGTTTCTGGTATACAATTGGCTGTGTTCAAATGGGGGCTGGGTCTGTTGGTATTTTGTTGTTAGGAGGTAAGGGGAAGAATTATAAAGCATATCTATTTCCTTTTGTTCTCTGTGTCTGTAATTAATGGCACTTAACGTAGGTAGCCCTGTATAGATTTCTTTGGTTTTGAAAACTTGGGGGTCTGTTTCACAGAAATTTGTGAAAATATAGTAAGGTAAATCTGATAAAAGGTAATTAAGCCTATTCAATCCTGAGTTAAAAGTTTAAAAAGGAAAATGAACGATTGATTTCAATTACATCAACCATGTAGGATAACCTGGCTTGTTTCCTGTGCTGCTTTTTTCTTTTAATTTTCGATTAATCTCACTTCCAGTTTTGTTACCTTTAAAATACAAATTTTCATTTCCTTCTTGATGTATTTAGGTATCTTTTTTTTTTTCCCGGTACATGCCCCTAGCGGGAACTGAACCCAGGACTCTCTGGCCCACAGGCCGATGCTCCAACTGCTGAGCCAAACCGGCCAGGTATCTTTTTAAGGACAAATTGTATTTTCCATGTCACTTTGTGGTTATGTGGAGATGATTAATTTTAGGGATGTCACCATTAGGAAAAACATTGCTGCTCAATAAATAGTTTTTTGAGTTTAGTTGGAACACATTTGATGACTTTAATAACTTTTCTTTGTTGTCCTCAAACATTTGGCCATAGGTAGGCAGATTTTACAAATTTCTTCTTTGGCAATGTCCAGAAGTCCTGGATTTAAATCAAACCCTAGATAGCACAGTAGACATATCTTTCAACCTGAATTTCCTGTGGTCTTCAGTTTGATCACTTTGTCTCAATAGCCAAAATGTGAAACTCTTAAGTGTTTTAACACAGAATCTTGGAGTGAGTCTATCAGTTCCACCCTTAGGAATGGGTAAGAACTTAATTCTTTCTTTGTATAGTAGAGATGTTGGCCGTATGGAGCTCATTTACTCTTATTCCAGCCTATTATTCTTTCTAAATTTTGGTTTATTGACTTTGGCCTAACCTCCTCTGGTTTCCTTCTCGGTTTTTTGGTGTCTGTCATCAAATTTTTATGTAATTATGGCCCATTTAAACCCTTAACATTTGGAGAAAAGGCTTCTCAATAGAAACATCCTTGAGCAAAGGAAGCATATATAACTTCTTTTTAAAAGATAACAGCTTTATTGAGATATAATTCATATACCACGCAGTTCATAAATTTTTCATGTTTTTGCCGAGTTGTACAAACATCATCACAGTCACTGTTAGAACATTTCCATCACCCCCAAAAGAAACCCCGTACTCATTTGTAAATGACCTTTTTTTTTTAATACTCAGCTGAGGATATGTTCATTAATTTCTGTGGTTTGTTTTTAAGCGAGAGAGAGAAACATGGATCTGTTGCCTCTTTTATGTGCTCCGACTGGGTATAGAACCTGCAACCTAGGTGTCTGCCCCGACTGGGACTCGAACCTGCAGCCTTTTTGTATTGGGCTGATGCTCCAGCCAGCTGAGCCACCCAGGGGCCAGGGCTGTAAACTACCTTTTTTTTTAAATCCTCACCCGAGGATATTTTTACATTAATCTTCAGATAGAGCTGGAGGGAGAGAGGGAGGAAAAGAGAGAGAGAGAAACATAGATGTGAGAGAGACACATTGACTGGTTGCCACCTGCACAACCCCAACTGGGGCCGGGGATGAACCACAGCCAAGGTATGTGCCCTTGGCTGGAATTGAACCCCGGGATTCTTTGGTCCGTGGGTGACGCTCTTACCACTGAGCGCCAGGGCTGTAAACTACTTTTTAAGACAAATGTAGGACTGTACTGCGCAGGAGGAAAACATTACATTTTTTTCTTCTCATTTTGTGAGAGGCTGGATTAAGTACTGTAGTTCTACTTCAAAGGAGGCTGCCTTTGAAAACAACTTGATTTGCTGTAGTCTTTGCATGGTGTTCAGTTGAACTTGACTTTTCCAGTGGTGAGTTGGTTGAACTGGGAACCACAAACATTCATCCAGCTGCACTCTCAGGGAACAACTAATCCACAAAATCAGGTTTTAGATTAGAATGCAATGCGAGTGGTATCACAGAGATTCCCATCCCGTTCCCACTGGGGAAATTTTTCTTCCTGTGAATATAGTATTTGTTTTTAGACATGCCATCTAAAACTTCTTAAAGAGCCAAATGAATACAAAATTGTCATTGAAAAGTGTTAATAAATGCCCTGTATTAAAACTGGGTTGTGAATTATTTTGTTATTGGGAGACACTGATAAGAAAAATTAGACGTGACTGGATAAAGAAGGCGAAGAGATTAGCTAAAGAACATATACGCACACCACATGGACACAGACAATAGTGCGGTGAAGGCCAAGGGGGGGTACATGGGGGAGGGTGGAGGTGGGCAAAGGAGGGGAATGGGGACACCTGAAGTACTGTCAACATTGAATATTTTTAATAAAATAAAAAGGAAAGTTAGAGAAAATTATTAAACCTCTGTTTTATTCTCTGTCTCTAAGATATTAATTTTCTGTTTTAGATTTTTAGAGAGGAAGAGAGACAGTGCCCCCCTCATCCCTCATCTGGCGCATGTGCCCTGACCTGGAATCAGCAACCCCTTGGTACAAGGGCTGGTACCCAACCAACTGAGCCACACTGGCCAGGGCTCAATTATCGTTTTGATGTCTTGGCTTAGAGTGTTTCTGATTGACAGATTAGTAGTAAAATCGTTTGTTTGCTTGTTTCACTTGGGGACAGTAACAAAGTCCTGAGTGTTTAGTATACTTTAAAATAGGTAGACAAGCCCGGCCAGTGTGGCTCAGTGATTGAGCATCAACCCCTGCACCAAGAGGTCGCCAGTTCAGTTCCCAGGGGGGCACACAGGAGGCGGCCAGTTGATGTCCTCTCTCATTGATGTTTCTCTTTCTCTCTCTCTCCCTCTCCCTTCCTCTCTCAAGCCAGTAAAGAAAATGAAATTAAAACAGGCAGACAGAACTCCGTCAGTGAGAGCACTTCCTTTTGGAAAAGGCACAAAGACACCATCATAAACTGTGGAGTAAGAAAACTCTGGTGTGTGTGCTGTGAACAGGATCCTTTTACAGACTTTGGAACCACTCGTCATCTTGGACCACATTACAGTTTGACTATAGAAAAGGGTAAAGGGAGAGCTCACCCCCCCCCCCCAATGTGTACCTCTTTCTAAGGGCCATCTATAGATTTAAACAACCAGTAACCTAGGAAATGCTTGCTTTCCTCCTCGCACATTCCTTTCATCTTGGTTTGTGTGGAGCTGGTGATAGGATTTTTTTTCTTCTTTTTAAGACACTTAGTCTCTGGAGATGATGCTAATATATCTTTCAAGTGGCAAAGATCATTGCCAACCTCAAGAAATTAAAATTAGCTTCGGTGTGCCCTGGCTGGTTTGGCTCAGCCATTAGGGTGTCGGCCCGTGGACCGGAGAGTCCCTGGTTCGGTTCCCGCTAAGGGCATGTACCTTGGTTGCAGTCTGGCCCTGGCCCTGGTTGGGTTCATGTGGGTGGCAACCAGTCAATGTGTCTCTCTCACATTGAAGTTTCTCTCTGTTCCTCCCTCTCTCCCTCCCGCTGTATCT